TTGTGACCTGGAGCAGAGGCTCACAGAATCAATCAGGTTTTGCAGGGAGGGATGTTTGGTGGTTGGGGCCCTCCTGAGATGGGGGCTGTAAGATGGTTGGCCCATCCACCAGTTTGGGAAAAAACAATCAGCCACACCTAACTCTGTTTTAGCTTTCAGCACAGGTTCTTTTATTCCTCTGCCCCACAAAGGCAAAAAATAGTGATAAGAAACTAAAGTGATAGTCCTGAACTGGACTGGTACTGCAGGGTCCTCTACCACCCAAGGAGATCAAGGCCCTCCCTTAGCCTCAGGGGGGACCACAGGGCCTTCCTGCCCTGTTGCAGCCTTCCACTGCTGCTCAGGAAAGTGTTTGTCTCTCATGTCTCCTCCACTCACAGATCTGGGTCCTTATATCTGCCAACTGGGAATCAGAGCCAGTCATTAAAGCTGCTGCTTGGCTGTATCAGCTGGTTCCCAACACCTGCCTGATGGATTCTCCTTAGGCCAGGGCTTGCTGCTCCCTGACTCTGCAAGCCCTTAAAGGGGCAGACAGTGCTGTGCACGTTCACACTCGTTAATCTGGCCTGATTTTATTGGGTACTTGCTGAGAAGACTTAACCCAAGAAAACAATGGTGTTGTTTCAAGTACAGTTTGGAAACGACATCACTCATGTGTTTGTGTTGCAACAAATAGTGTCAATAAGCTGTGTCAATACAGCAAATAAATAGTTTCCAGAGTCTAAGCATTAGACATAAACAAAAGAGATTTAAGCAAAACAGACTAAATTCATCCTTGGTGTAACTCCACTAAAGTCCATGAATTTACACAAAGGGTGAATTTGGCCCAGAAATTTAGAACCATAGTTAGAGACCCAGTCACAAAATAAACAAAGACAATAACAGATCTATGGAGAATGTATTTATCTGCCCTAATGAAAAGTCCTACAGAATTTAATGGAAAATTATCAACTTTATATTGGATTTTTTTAACCATTCTATAGAATTCAAATACCCTACAGGGCCTGGTTCTCTCATAGTGAGCAGTAGTGGCAGAACCAGGCCTACAGAAAGAATATTTTTCTTTATGAAATTGTGTAGGCTTTGAAATAATCTCTGTAGAACCCTATCACATTTCTACAGAACCTAGTGATTTTAAAATTTCACCTCTATTAAATTCTATAACACTTTTCCATAACGTTGATAACAGAGGAGCAAATCACTGAATTTGTCATACAAGAGTTAGGATTAATTGAAACTAATGGGTCTGATTTTGTAATCCTTACTCAGGAGAAGCACCTGTTGATATCAATGCATACTATGGATCCAGGTTCTCACTAGGTGTCTAAATACCTTTCAAAGCCTGGCCATTTGTCTATATTAGCTAGAGTTAAACCTGGATCCCTTGCAAATTATATATTGACCTCCTGTGTTATGCAGCGTGGCTCATTTTGAAGCACTTATCAAATGAAATACAGATAACAGATCACCTATCATTGAGCCATAAAGGTCAATTACTTTTTCTAAATCAGGACTCAGTAGTTCTGCTTAAAAACAGATTGCATAGGCACGACCTGTAATTTAAATACTAACAACATAATTACTGGTAGTAATTCTACACTGAGGGAAAGCCCTCGGTGCATTCAGTACTATGAACATTTATGTGTTGATTTGTCTTTAAAAAAAAGTGAAAGGAAAACAAGAACAAGAGAAAGGACCTTGAAAGCACTTTCACATTCAAGCAAGATCAGTGTGTCTTTAAAATATTTTGCTGTGTGTAATATGAGTTCTGGTACGAGAGTCCTTCCAGAATCAAGGTAAGTGTTATGCTGGAGAGCTATATGGTAATATGCTTGCTTAATGTACACACTGATGATGCATAATGAGTTACTTAAAGTTTGTGAAATGTGCTAGTTTGATAAATGAATTGCCAATATTATTCTGTTGACACACAGACGCAAAGTTCAAGGTGGCCTTGGCTAATAAACAGACGGAAAATGTATCTCACACATTTGCTCCAAGCCTGAAAAACAAGCCATTTAGAAGAAGACATCTGGATGTACAAACACTTAGCACAGCAGCATTCAGAGCCCATGAAAACATGGAGCCATAGCTTGGCGTCTAGTTGCTAAGCAACCGACTTCATACATTCAAAACACAGTTGTAGAAGTTGGATCCTCATGCCAACTGCTGCTTCTTCTCATTGAAAAATAAAACTCTGAGTGTGGGGGGAATCTTTCTTTGAGGTTAAAAAAAACCTATTTTCTAGGAGCTGTATCTCATCTGCTTGTTGATCCTTTAACCCTTTTCCACGTTTACATTCTGAGGTCTAACTGAGATTCATTTTGAACCTTCCAACACCATGAAATGAAAGCGGTATGGATCTCAGCACATTCCCTTCTAAACCAGTCCAGGAATGCACATAGTAAGAAAATACCTGTATTTTTTTCTCATTAAGCCAAATAAACTTTTGATGCAATCTCCACGAGTTTAAAATACAGGGCCAGCTCCTCAGCTGATGTAAATCAGTGAAGCAATTCATTAAGTTGAATTGAGCTATGCTGATTTACGTCAACTGAGGATATGTCAAATAATTAATTGTGTCAAAAACCATATACTACCAAGCAAACCACAGCCAGTGATTTTTCTTGGAACAGATATCTGCTTGTTTGGTAACAGTGCAAACTATTTTTCCATATGAAGGCTAATGTGTCATATGAATATTATTACTATAATCACTAAGATCAAACAGACAGCAGAAATTGTGATATTTTGCTCTTTGCTGTGAAATTTTCATCTAAAATAAATGTTTAGGATCAGAGTCTACCACCCTTAGTCCCTTTGAAGCCTAACTCACAGAGTAAGATATTATGCAATGCAGTCCAGTCGTTAGTGATCATCTCAAAGTTTAGGGCCACAATCTGCCATCCTTATTTGCGTGAAGCACGATTAGTCCCATTGAAATCGACAGGAGTACTTACAGAGAAATGTAAGAGTGACAGAATTTGGCCCAGAATCGCTATTCAATATTGATGTCTAGTCACAAACAAGAGCAGTCTGATACAATCAAGCTAGCTTCCTCTCCTTCAGATTGTAATTAGCAAGGTGACTGTTTTAAAATGAGATCTGATATAGCTTTTAACAAACAGAATGGATGGGTTTGAACTGCCACCAGAAAGCGCCTGCTGTACAAGTTTGGGATGACAGAGATGGCGCCTAATATTTCAAGTATTTACGGCTATAAAAGTAAGCCAGGTTTTTTTCTTCCCCTTTCCTCGAGTACCTCCTTCCAGAAACCATCCAAAGAATCCTTTTTGGCAGCCTCCTGTGATGTAGCAAAGCAAGAGAATTCAAACTAACAGAAAGTCCCACAGTTTTTTTTTATTTTCTTACTGAGGAAAGAAAAAATATAACGGAAAGGGATATTCTTACAGTAGCTCATTGCATAAACTATGCCACATGTCCACAGGAGCAGTGCCCCTTAACTATGTATGGCAATGCAATTACGGCACTGATGCAGAATATTGCATGGATGAGAATTGCGGTATCGGGCCTTTAATTGATTAGGAGAGCAATTTTTTACTACATGGATAGCAAGGTACTACATGCTCCTCCACAAACTGAGTTGCACTGAGTTAGTGTGGCTTTGTTTATGTGTCTTATATTTAAGTCCTAGTCTTGTACCACAAGTTCTGTCTTCCTCTAGGCCTACTGCCATTTTTCTGTCGTGCTGGGAATACCATGTTAAATTACAGCAGCTAAGTAGGGAAGTCATGTGCTCCTTAAGGTGTTATTTACCAATTCATTCTGTTTTCCTAATCTCAATGGGTCAAATTCATTCTTGGATTAATTTGATCCAATGGGTGTTGTCAGTTCTTTACTGTGACTATACACAAATGAAAAAAGATGCACTACTGTTAACAAGGATATGTGAAACAGATTATGACAGCAATGTAATATCTCAAGTGGAGATGAATTTGCTGATCTAGGTCTAGTCCAGGGGTAGGCAACCTATGGCATGCGTGCCGAAGGCGGCACACGAGCTGATTTTCAGTGGCACTCACACTGCCCGGGTCCTGGCCACCGGGTCTGGGGGGCTCTGCATTTTAATTTAATTTTAAATGAACTTTCTTAAACATTTTAAAAACCTTATTTGCTTTACATACAACAATAGTTTAGCTATATATTATAGACTTATAGAAAGAGACCTTCTAAAAACATTAAAATGTATTACTGGCACGTGAAACCTTAAATCAGAGTGAATAAATGAAGACTCGGCACACCACTTTTGAAAGGTTGCCGACCCCTGGTCTAGTCTCTAGTAGCCACGAGTCCCAATCATACAAATTAACACCAGCTCTAAACACCTGCAGTCTCTATTCAAGAGTGGCTCAACTCTGGAATAAACATGGGGTGCTGCAGGCCACGGAGGCAGTGCATCGGCAGATGCGCCAGAGAAACTTGCAAAGCACCTGGACTCATTACACCTCAGTTTAGATAGCACCACTCATAAGGTGTGGAGGGGTTATTTTTAAAAAAAATCATAATGATTCTGTTGTGCTGTCAACTAAGCAACTGGTTAGGAAATGACAGTAGGATCCCACACAACCCGGGTTGCAATCAGCCTCGTTGCTGTCCAGAGTAGTGACCTACATACCAGCAGAAGCCAGGATCAGATACCTACCCTGCAGACTGGAGGACTGCAAAGGGGCTGTCAAAGAAAGGGAAACAACCGAGGAGGAAGGAAAATTAGGCCAGACAAGAAAGGAGGGTAATTAACCACTGAAACAATTGACCAAGCACCATGGTGGCTTCTCCATCAAGATTTTGGAATCAAGATTGGGTGTTTTTCTAAAAGCTATGCTCTAGGAATTATTGTGGGGACATTCTCTAGCCTGTGCTATACAGGAGGTCAGACTAGATGATCGCCATGGTCCCGTCTGGCCTGTTTGCTGTTGCACATTGTGCTGCTGAGCCCTGGTGGGGCTGGGCAAGGGGTGCCAGGGCCTCAGGCGACCTACCTCCCGGGTGAAGAGGATAGCGGCATCGTAGTGCTCCTCATGCTCGTCCTCCAGCGGGTTGTGCTGGTGCTGCCACTTGCAGAAGTTCTTCAGCGTGGTGGCTGCGTTCTTGTTGACCTCCAGCCCCTTCTCCTTGTCGCCCAGCACCACCACCTTCACCACGGCCAGCCGGATGGGGTTCTCGATGCTGGCGTGCCCGTAGAGCCGGGAGGCGATGGTGGCCAGGGTCAGCAGGTAGTGCTGCAGGCCCTTGCCGTACTTCTTGGCCATGGAGCCGTCGGCCACCAGCAGCAGCTCCACCTGGCGGGCTCTGGAGATGGAGCGCCTGCTCCTGCGCCCGGCGCCGGGCGGAGCAAAGGGCCCCGGGGCTAGCGCTGCACTGGTGGCCAGCTGGGGCTGGGCGGGGCGCTCCTGGCCCCCCCGCAGCTCGCCTTTGCCTCCCAGCGGCGGGGCCTGGCCGGAGCCGCGCGTCTCGCAGCTGGGGCGCGAAGGTACCGTCTCGAAGCTGAAATGGTCCTTGCGGAAGAGGTGCGGGATCAGGGCGGAGCCGGGCCCATAGACCCGTCGCGGGTCCGCCCCCTTGGCCCGGAGCAAGGGCTTCACCGTGTAGCGGGCGTGTTTGACCGCGAAGTAGCCATCCAGCCCCCCGCAAAGGTTCAATACGGCCAGGGACTGGGGGCTGCCGTCCACCGTGCCCCGGTAATAGCAGTGAGCCCAGCCGCGGGGATGCTGCACAGGGGCCTGCGGACCCACCAGCTCGTCCCTCTCCAGATCCAAGAGGAACCTGCTGCCCCCCGCGTAGAGGAGGTAGCCCACCTTGCCGCCCCCGGAGTAGATCTGGTCAATGTTCTGCACCAGGCCGCTGGTCCGGGACAGCTGCTGGGGGCCAGGGTGAGGGGATGCTGATGCTGCTGCTGCTCCGGGAGGCGGCTGGGTTTTATCATAAGCAGGTGCTGCTGTTGTTGCTGTTGGAGCTCCGGTCTTGGCAGCAGCAAAGTGCAACTCCGCAGCCAGCAGCAGGGAAACAAACTTCAGGACCATATTTGTCTCTCTTAAAAAAAAAAAAAAAAAAGTCACCCGGTGGAGATCAACAGAGGAGCTTCAGAGTGGAAAAAAATCCTCCCAAGGTTGAAGCAAGTGTGAGTGGGAGGAAGAAAAAAAATGTCAACAAAGGCAGCTCGCGTTTGAACTTTGCGTTTCTCTGCAGGGAAAAGTCAGGAGCACATGGAAGGAGAACACCACAATCCTAAAACAACTGCTGAACAGGCGGCAAACAAGTGAGGCTCACACCCGGCGAGCGGAGAAGTTTGAGCACTTTTCACTCTTCTTCCACTTCTCTCTTGTAGTCACTGCATCATCCTCCTCAACAGAGGCAGGGGGATCCGATGCAGATCGGCACTTTCAGAAGCTAGTGCCTTGCCTTCCTTTGCCCCCTTTTGTTTGAAGAGAGAAGAAACATACGCCAAAAAAGGCTCGATCGTCTCCGGTGAGATGGTAAAAAAAAATGCCCTGGATTTTGTAAAACAACTTCTCCCTTTCTAATGCTGGTTGTTATCCCCAGTCTGTCGATGTGAACAAGAGGAGAAGGGAGAGAAATGTGAAGATGAGAGGAGGTGGAACAATGAATTTATAGCGGAATGCCATCCTGCAATGGCAATTTCAACAATTCGTCACTGCAGGCTGCCTCTTAAAGGGAGAGCTTCAAAACCACCACTCCCACACTTCCTTCTCATTTAATCAGACACAGAGAGAAACTGGGGGGCGGTGGGGAGGGGAGAAAGAGAGAGGGACTGAGGGGGGAGGAGAAAAGGAGAGAGAGAGAGGGACTGAGACAGGAAGGCAGGAGAGAGAGGAAGGAGCGAGGGGAGGAGAGAGAGACTGGGAGAAAATGTTTGTTTAAGAAAAACACAAGATTTCCTTTGAATCATTTAAAGCCACAGTGTCGCCTGGATCTTTTGATATTTCACAACTGATCGGGGTTGACTAAGCTTTGCTTACCTCATGTCCCGCAAGGTTCCTTCCCTACCTTCTTGTTATTTGTGTATTTTTTTAAGTGGATGAGACAGATTTATGGCTTTTTTAAAAATGGTGATAGGAAGTTGTTGGGGCTTTTAGAAGTGATCCTTTCCGTAGAGGGCTGTAAAGCACATGATATCCCACTTGGCTGGGGTTGTGCAACCAGCAAAAAGGATGAGTTGCTCTGTTTAACGGGAAAAAGAATTAGCAAGCCGGTGTTTTGCAGTGACTTTCTGCTTCCTGTATTTACTGCAAGGACACAGATCGCTGCAGGTTTTCCATGACATTTGACTTTAGAGAGTCTGGTGCATGGGGAAGTTGGGGAGATTCATGCCTCTCTTCTCTGGACAGGAGCTGCCACATTTACCCGGTCAGAAGAAAATGCAAAAAATGTCCTCCCTTTGTCTGTGTGACTGTGATTCTTCTGCACACACGCCTGTCATTATTTCAAGCAAACTGTTATTTAGTCTGGGTGGGCTGTAATTTCCCTCAATTCCCAAGGAGGAGAGAGGGTGGGGAAGAGTTAACTCTTACTTTAACCTTTGGAATGCTTTCAGATACTTAGATCATCCCCCTACTTCCACACACACATTAACCCCTCTACCCTCCGCCCTAGTCCTTGTGCTCCAGCAGAGACACCACAAAGGGAGGATATCTGAATTAATTGACAATTTACTTTTTCATCTGACCACAGCATGTAAAGCCATCCATACCCAGCCAAGGTGAATTGTCTGATAAACAGTACAACAGTTCCTGAGAAGGGAAGGAAGAATCACTATAAGGCAGCTCTCAGTGAATCATAGAAAACTACAACTGGAAGGGACCTCAAGAGGTCATCTAGTCCACCTCCGTTTGTTGAAGCAGGATTAAGTACACCTTGACCATCCCTCATGGATGTTCATCTAACCTGTTCCACTTGAAGAAAAGGAGGGCACACAGACATAGGAGGGCATTGCTTTTGCTGTTCCCATTCACCTACCTGAGAGAAGGTCAAATCACACACTTTCTTTTGCAGTAACTCAAAGATAAATCATTGCTTGAAGCAAAGGAGTTTAGTGTGATGCATTTTCTGTGTGTCCTTTGAGGTTCTCCAGAAAAGGACAGATTGCATAAGGTGCTTTACAAGGGTTCCAGGAGTCCATGCTACTTAGCTTTCCAGTCTTTTCAGGTTAGGACATCTAGGTGCCATCTCACACAGGTGTTTAACTTTACATACTTCAAATAGTCCATGGAAGTTAATGGAACTACTCACAGGAATTATATTTAAGCACATGTGTAAATTCTTGCAGGATCAGGACCATATTATCAAGCAATTAAAAGAATGTCAGATTAGGGTTTGAATTCAGCATTCCTGGAAACTCCTTAAAGAATAGAATACTTCTTTAAATAACCATCTAGACCACAAGTTAACATTTGTAAACCATTTAGAACACAAATATTGCCATATAAGTGCTAAGTAATATAATTGACATATCCCTAGTCTTAAATTATATCATTCAATGATTATGCCAGGATGAGAGTTCACAAATGAAAGTTTGCGGCTGTTCATTTCTCTATGCAATCCTTCGTTTTCCTGGAGATACTAGTACTTGGATTCAATAGTTAATTTATTGGAAACCTGATGCTACTTATTCCCTGTTGCAGTAATTTGCGAGCATCAGAAATTGTTGGCTATGAAAGGTAGGCTACATTATTAGAGCCCTGCATGGATACAAAACTTGTATCCACATCTGATCCGCAAAAATGATCCGCTGATATCCGCAAGATCTGTGGATATAAAGCGGATATCCACCGATTTGCAGGGCTTTAGATATAAAATTTGAATCTGCATCCATCCGCAATCTGAAAAAATGGTCCATGGATATCTGCATCATCGGATGTGGTTATCTGTGGATATAAAGTGGATATCTGTGGATTTGCAGAGCTATATACATTATGCTTCAGGAATGGCTCATCATTTGAAGTTTCTTGAGCTACTTGCCAGAGCTGGTCAATACTTTCTGAATTTTGTAAATGTATGAAAAGTCAACATTTTCATGGTTTTCCCACCTTTCAATTTGACAGCTGCAGAACTGATAGAAATTTTTTACAATTTTTGACATTAAAAACGGGGGCGGGGGGAAGAGAGGAAGATTTTGAGAAAATATTCACAATTTCCTTCCTTCCCTTTTTTGAACATCTTGCATCAGTGATTTTTAGTCATGGGTAGGCCTAGTCACCCTCAATGAAATCTTTTTATATTTACTTTAGTAGGAGCTGGAATAGGCCCTTGGTACATATTTAGCACCAGTCTGAACCCTCAAAGTACCTTCGAGAGATGGGCTAATGACGAGATGGATGATAAAAAAGTTGCTTGAATAATCAATGCAGAACTCTTATTCATAGTGTGAGTTCTCATAGGAAATACAGAACTGAAGAGACCAATGTAATGTTCTTTCACATTATAATATAATTCCAACTGCCTTATTATAGCCCAGGAAAAAGAGAAAAATGTTAAAATGATTATTCAGATTGGTTTATGTTATTGCTTATCCATTCTGTTGCGCTTGATTGTCCTATAGCTAGAGAAACTCCACCAAATTTTAGCATATATAAGACACCATTTCCCCCAGAAAGGATCTAGATTCTTAAGAAAGACTCAGGCTTATAACATACTATTCCATGGAAACAGTATTGGCAAGCTCTACAATTTACATTTCAGAATTGTAATGATTCAGCACTGTGATAACTGAAAGCTAGTTCAATTATGCCTTCTATTCTCAGAATTTTCAAGTCTCTGTAAATAACTTAAGATAGTTTTCTTTTCCTTTATATTTTGCTTTCTTAGCCCCTTTTACGCTCACAGTGTTCCCTTTAAACTAGAGAGCCTGGTAGCACATCTCAAGTTGTGGATAGCACCAATCCTTGTCAAACAGTTCTGACCTGGAAATCACGGGACTGACCTTTCCCAACTGAAAGATACAAGGCCACAAATCCTCAATTAGATCTAAAGCACAACTTAAGTAGTTAAATACTTTAGACCAATTTCAGCACTGGTTTAAACAGACCCAGTCATATTGACTATAGAGCAGCAGGAGCTGCTTATATCAAGGTTGTATCTCACCCTTTGTCTATTGACCAAGAAAAAGCTTAGAATCCTTCTGATAAATTTGTACCAGTAGCATGGGATTTCTGATTAAAGGAGTTTTGCTGCATGGGAGATATTTCACCATGAAGTAACAAATCACAGCATTAAGGTATTTTCTCCTATCATTGAACAACTTAGGCTGCCTATATTTCTTGAGAGGACATTTAGATGTTTAGTTTCAGAGATTCCAAGATCAGAAGGGACCACTGTGACCATCTAGTCTGACCTTCTGTATATCACAGGCCATAGAACTTCTCCAAAAATAATTCCTAGAACATTTCCTTTAGAAAAAACATCCCATCTTGACTGAAAAATTATCAGCGATGGAGAATCTACCACGACCCTTAGAAAATGTTGATATGATGTTAATCCGTTTAGCTGCTCTTCCCTCAGAAGTCTTTCTATAAAATGTCCGTGTCTTATTTTCTCACTTTTTGGGTTTTCAATCTTATTAACAAAGGTGGGCCTGAATGAAAACCATGGACCTGAGGTATCAAAAAATAATTTATCATTAATCTGAATATATTTGATTGTATTTATATCTCCAGTGAGTCATTTTTAATCTATGACTGGTGGCAAATCTGTTTCTTGTGTTAATCAAGTGTGAGATATTATTCCCATTTGTTTCTCCTCTTCACATATTCATATTAAACTCATAGCCCCTAACATTTTCATTTTCCTTTATTGATTTTCAGGCGAACTCCCCATAAGAAAGCCTACAAAGGAGAATAAAAACTGTCATATAAAAATGCTCTAGTGGCCTTTGTAGTTCAATAGCATATTTACAACCATGACTAATACTGGATGCTTCAGAGGGGGAATAAACTCCATACTGCACTTATATGTGCAATATCATCACAAAACATTTTTTCTGATTCCAGTTGATCAGCTTATGCTGTAAAGTATAAAGACAGAGAGACTTTTTCATTTTTTTCTGGACATTGTCACTATTCTTATTGTCTTTTTTATGTTTTGAATTTATTTTTATTAATTTATGATAACATAATACTTTTACGTAATTCCTTTAATCCAGAAGTGCCTTACAAATGAATTGTAGCCCCACCTGAGTTGGAACAGGGCAATTGTTAAACCTCACACACAGTAATAGTGCTCAGTAGTTTAAAACAGGAAGTGAAAAAATTTAGAGCTGAATATGACCCCTAGTCTTTATAATCAGGGTTGGTCCTGCAAATACTAAAGCCCCTGAATAATTTTATTCATGTGAATAGTCCCACTGTGTAATTCACTGTAGGATCAGACCTGACAATGGATTGTAACTAGTATTAGAAAGATATTGCATTGGAAAACTAAGTATCAACTACTGGTGCAGTAGTAATAGGGTGTACAATGAGTCCAATGGAACTACTCACACGCTATTAACTCAACTCACTATGTTACTCCCATGTTTCAGCGTTCTCAGGATTGGGCCCATTCATTTCTTCTTGAAGAGAGATTACTGTGGTGATGGCCTATGACAAATTTTTTTTCATGTCATGAGTTGGTTTCTCTTTGTTTTTTCCTTTGGAGCAATTGCTATGACATTCGTTTAATATGTGCTTGATAATAAGTTCTTTACTTTATTTGTGATAATAAG